CAGATAAAAGTGAAGAAGGTAGAAGAAAAGTAGGAGAGTACAGGACGGAGAGGATGCTATTGACAGTTCAGACAGTGGTCTCTCCACCTCCCATACATGACGGTTACAGCCAAAAGAGGATAGGAGATCCAGACTTCAATCACCCACGGGTGATAGGTTTATGATCAAGATGCAAGAATTGTCTGGACCTTGGTCTCCCACCTCTCTATGAAAGGGATTGATGTGATAAACTCTAAGTGAACTGTATGTAGTTCCACCTCATTTGTCATCACTATCCCAGAGGTTGGGGCTATAGGAGGTTTTGTTTTGTTTTGTTTTTATTTTATTTTATTTTATTTTTAAAATTTGCCAGAGGGTCCATGTGCTTGTGTGTGTGTGTGTGTGTGTGTGTGTGTGAGAGAGAGAGAGAGAGAGAGAGAGATGAAGAAAGCATCCCTCTTGGGAAATGATCAAACCACAATCCCTTCTCCTCCATTTCTGTCTCCTTTTGGGATTCTGGGCATGTACACATATGTCCAGTGTTTTTTTTTGGGGGGGGGAGTTTTTGCTATAGGATGTGTGCGCTCACCAGACAGAGAGAGACAGAGAGACAGAAAGTGAGAAATCACCCCCCAGGGGAAATGGCCACGCCTCAATCCCTTCTCCTCCATTCTCCTCTTGGGATCTTGGGCACGCACGTACATACACCCGGCGTGAGTTTTAAGCCACCGGGTCCGGGATGCAAACCGCGGTCGACTACGTGGGAGTCCAACGACATAGCCATTATGCTAACTGCTGGTCTCATGTGTCCAGTGTTTTTTAAGCTGCTGGGTTGGGATTTTAACCTCACAGTCATGTGAATTCTAGTTCCCTTAACTATCACCCCACCAGCTGACCCGCGCTATTAAAGATCTGAAAGGTCATGTAGCTTTGAGACAGCTATTCAGCATCATCTTACATGCTGACTCTGACCTGTTGGTAGTGGCTTCCTGGAGCCATGTGTTGAGAAGGATCCTGAGGCCTTATCTGAACTCCTGGGAACAACAGCCTTGACTTAATAATGTTATCTGCCAGTATTGGGGCAGGGAGGGGAATGGCAGCAAATAAACCATCTAGCCTAATATCTTCTTGTCACAAGAAGGAAGACCAGGGCCAGCAGGTGGTATGGAGTTTGAGGGACTGGATCCCACATGGCCTACTATGTGGTTTGAGTCCTGGACCCAGTGACTTGAAAATCATGCTAGGCATGTGTGTGCATGGCCAAAATCATAAGTAGAGAATGGAGAAGGGGTTGTGGAGTGGCCATCTCCCTGGTGGTGGTGTGTGGGAGGGTGATTTCTCACCTTCCCTCTCTCTCTTTCTCTCTGTCTCTCTCTGGTGAGTGCACACTCCCTATAGCAAACAAACTAAAAAACAAAGAAACAATGAAAATGAGACTAGAAACTCATATTTTTGAGTTGACTATGAGCCAGGCACTGAGAAAATTGCTTTTATGTACACAATTGTATTTAATTGTTAGCCAACCTTAAGAAGTTAGATTATAGAGCCTCCTACTTTTAGATAAGGTTTAGGGAAACAAATGTTTCCAGAAGCCCATTGCCTTAAGTGCCTGCCTGCACTGGCAGAAGTAGCAGTGTACCAGTAGTACCAGTAGCACTGGTACTAATCTGTGGGTATTTACTCTGTGGGAGGCCAGTGGTTCTTAGCAGGGGGTGGATTTTATTCTCCAGAGGACATTTGGCAATGTCTGGGACTTTCTGATCCTTAAAATTAGGGAGGCCATAGTGTTCCCTACCGTAAGTGGCTAGAGGTCAGGGAGGCTGCTAAAAGCCCAGGACAAACCCGAGAACTCCCCACAACAAAAAACTGGCCCTGTGTCAACAGCGTAGAGGTGGAGAACTCTGTGCTAAGCTCTATAGCAATTGTTTCCAGACAGATGATCAAACTCTTCCTGTAGCTGGTGGGCATAATTATCATCTCTGTTTTACTCAGAAGACAAGGTGACCTCAATACAGGAAGTGGTCAGGACAAGGACGGAACCCAGGTAATCCGACTCTAGAGGCCTGTGGTTTCCAGATACTACACTCCGGTATGATCGACTTCCCTTATATCAAAACACGCAAACTTATTATTAGCACCTGCTCACCTATTACAGATTTCAGAACAAGACCACTCAGCCAACCGTGAAAAATTCCCACCATGGTGGGTATATCTCCAAAGAAGAAACAGATTTGCCTAACAGTTCAAAGGACGTCTCTAGAAACTCTTAATATAAAACCATTGATCTTTCTGTAGTAGACACTCAGATCATTGCTTTAAAATAAAACTCTAAGGGGAAAGCTAATTTTAGGGCATTAACATGCTTTTTCAAGAATAATTAGCTCTGCGTGGGTTTCAACTTTAATATTTTTTTTCCCTCTTTTGATTGTAGGAACTGTAGAGCCTGGAAGCTTATTTGGGAGTAGAAGAGGAAATGAAACTAGGAAGACACAGTCAGATTCCTCTTTTTCTTGGAGGCAAAACACAATCTGAATATGAATAACCCTCTCATCCTGTCCAATTAAATGCAAGTACGGATAGAAAAAAAAAATACACACTTGGCTATTTGGAAGAAATTGAAGAAAAAGCCAGGAACCAGATGCTAATCAATACAAATCCTATGGAAATAGCTTCTTTTCAGATTTAAAGCTTGTCTCTCATGGAAACAGTTGCAGGCTACAGTGATAGCCTGAAGGAAGGCGTGGAGAGAGGAAAAGAGAAATAAATTAGTTGAAAGAGGACGGGAACTGGGAAGGCCAGGACAGAGGGAGTTTCTCTCTTATGGAGGAATTATTAAAACATGAAAGCAGAGATGGGAAAACAGAGCTGCTCAGGAAGCGGGGCCAGCGTGGACAGGTGCTTCTTTAAATTCGGAGGGAATGCCCCTCGCGCCTGCCAGACACATACATCCACCTTAGATGCGTTGGGGGTGGTTTAAGAACCTCAAGTCATTGACTTTGAAATGTTCTTCAGGCCGGCTCCGCGGTACAGACGCTGGCCTGAAGACAGTCGTGTAGTTCTGCAGCATCCCAGAATCCTGCCGCCCTCGCCCTCCGCCTGCCAGATCCAAAACAGACAGTCCCAGACTGTCTGAGACGGGGATGGTTCCAGAAAGCAGAGATCCGACGAATACAGTGACGAATTCAATGTGAATAGCTTAGCCCTGGAAAGAGCCTCTTCAATCTTAATTTGAGGTCATTTTGGAGACTGAAAATGCATCGTGCCTCAGGTTGGTGGTTGGCACGGAAATTGGCATTCTGCGGCCCCTGCTTGTGCCAGGTGCCAAGTCTAGGGAGCCACACACATTGCCTTGCTGAAGTGTGCCAGTGGGTCCTCCGGAGGTTAAATACCTTGCATTTGCTATTCCCTTGGCCAGGAAGCTCTTCCAGAGATGGGGGTGTGGCAGCTCTCCCCCCTGCCGCAAGAATCTGCACAGAAGCCACCTCTGTCTCCCTATCACATGCATCACTACTTTTTAATGAATTAATTAACTAATTAATTAATTTATTTTTAAGGAGAGGTTTTGCTATAGGGTATATGGACTCCCCGGAAAGACAGAGACAGAAAAGGAGAAATCATGGATTGGGGGGAGATGACCACAGCAATCCCTTCTCCATTCTTCTCTCGGGATCTTGGGTACTAACACACATGTGCCAGGTGTATTTTTAAACTGCCCGGTCTGGGACTCGAACAGGGTAGACTACGTGGGAGTCTAGAGAAGTAACCATTACACCATTTGCTGATCAGTGAAAAAGATCTGCTTATCCCTCATCTCCAGAATGGATTCATCAGCTTTTTCTTGTTCTTATATGTGTATTCTCTTCAGTGTCTGTCTCCCCACTAAAATGTAAACTCCCCGAGAGCAGGACTCTTTATTACAGCTGCATGATCACAACTGCTTCGGGTATACAGTAGGCAATCAGTAATTGCTTGTTCCCTTCCCACACCTGCAGGCCCCCCGGCAGCACTTTAAGCCCTCGCAGTCTGCACATGACTCCAAATTATAAGTTGCTTTCCATTCACGCTAGGATCAAAGGAGGCCGAGGAGCTAGTGGATAGTCAGGTCAGGTGGACTTTTCCTTCTCCCAAACAACTCCTGCATTTTAATTGCAACGTTGGTAATTCTCGCCTTTCCTCTGGCCCCCACCTTTGCATGTGAGCTGCACAGACTGAAACCACCACCCTCCTCTCACTCTACTCCCGGGCCCTGGCACGTATCCTCACGACTGCCTCAGAAGGTCGGGTCCTAGTCTCCGAGACCTGGGTCTACATCGATTGCGTCCTTTGTCATCCAGTGCCTGAATCCTCCTTGCTACGTGTGTTCTCCGTTCTCAATCTCTTTGCCTCGGTCTGATTTTCTCAAGAGCTCAAAGAACCCTCTCCCTAAACCAGTCCCTCCGGCGCCGCCCTCAATTCTCCCTTTTTCCCTGGCCCGGAAGTGCCACTCTACGAGCATTTACTGTGCGCTCACAGGGCTCAGACCCCATGCTGGGATGCAGGCAGCGTCCTCCACCGCCCAGCTGCGCTCACCTCCCTCTGCCCTACCCGCCGTTCCGGAACCCGGGGTCCCAACTCCCCCGACTACGTCATGGAATCCACGGGCTTCTTCCAAGGGTATCGCCCACCTCCTTCTCCAGAATGACTTCTGATTGGTGGGAGTGGGGAGTCTCTCTGCTGCCCCGCCCATACGCCCCGCGTGGCCCCGCCCCCAGGGTAGACGCAGGCTCCTCCTTCTCGCTCCCGCCCCTGGCTCCGCTCCTCCTGCTAATCTCCCAGCGGTGCGCGCGGAGAAGTTCTGGGCAAAGTACTGGGAACTGGACGCGCGATCGCGGTGCAGCCGAGTAGGCTTGGGCAAAGGGGGACCCAAGCGCTAGGCTGCCAGCGTGTGGAGCCGGCTCCAGCTCAGGCGTCT